TATTATTAATTAAATACAAGAAATACTCAAAACTATAAATAACATTGTAGTATTGTCTACAACATCCAACGTTCAGACCAAACAAAAGACGAAGCTAAAAGTACTTATCTCAGCATGCTATCCATACTTTAAACTTGAGACTGGGTCCTGTAACCAGTCAGAGAGGCAGAACTCACAACCTTTCATCCTTCCTTTGATAAACTAGAAGGATCAAGCCTAAATGAGATTGAATGGTCGTTCCATCCAATGTCTCGATATTAAACATTTGCCGTTTCTAGCTAGCCAAACTGTCCAAATGAAAGCAAACCAAATAACATCCAGCTCCTGCCATGAGGATGTAGACTATAATTGTTGAATAAACTTTATTTTATTGATTAAGTAATAAATTAATAATAATTATATTTGACAATCTATTTTTGTAGGTATAGTAATAAACAATTAATAAATATAACTGGACTTATTTTTTGTGATTATATGTGCTTGAAAATATGGCACCAAACTATAATTTACAATTAATTTGTCAATTATAAATTTTGTCAAAAAAGAAAAAGGAAAAAAGAAGACAACCATTAAATTGGTATAATCAACAATTGATTTATTGATTATAGTTGTATAATTGAGAGCAATTCTACCCACACTTATTCATTTCAATCAGCGTTTCTCCAAGGTTTGGTAAGCTTTTTAACGTTTCTACATTTACTTTGTTCGAGGGAAATTGAATTTTATTTTTCTTTAATTAATGAACAACATTTCCCCTGAAATGTTGGAAGCTTGGAAAGATTTGCAGACATTATACTGCAACAGCTTGGACAGCAACCGGCCTAGCCCAATCATTTATTGGCCTTCTAGATTGGGTTGGGCGTATTGTGTTGGATGGAAGTTTGTGAAGTTGTACGCGGCCGATTTAGACTGAATTGGGCCTCCCGTTACTGCTATATAGCCCAACTAGTTGAAATCCTAGAAGCCTCTAGCGAGGAAATCCCTTCACAGAAAAGACAGCCACTATAAATACAAAAATGAAAAGGCAAAACCATATGTTAAGCCCCTGAACGAACCCCAGAATCGCTATTAAGCCCTTAGACTTTAATTGATGCAGTTAAGCCCTTGAACTCTGGGATCGAAGCAATTAAGCCCTTCTTCTTACGCCACTTAACTGCCGTTTGGGATTGCTCGCCTGACTTAACTGCCGTTGAGCA